GGGGGGGGGGGGGGGACAATCTTATTTTTCATAATCTCCATTCGAGACGTAATCCATGCACTCACAATGTCTTGCATAATTGACTGTTTGCTGTAAATGTCACAATTATATGCATGTACTCAGAGTTAAATCAAGCCCTGAATAGACAGAAGGTCACTGAACCCAATCTGAAGCGAGTTGGATTGGTTTTGCTCTGAAACATGTTCCACACACTTTGACAAGCCTTTCACTCACAAAAGGACCAGCCAATAACTAACTATCCTTAACACAGAAAAACTCACAATGCAAAGCATTCGAAAACAATCTGATATTTTATTTTGTATGGTGGCACACAAAAACAAATTTAATTACAAACACATGAGAGGCTTGTTCTTCCAGAATCAACACTTGTGTGAACAGGGGGGGGAATTGGATTCCAGATACAAACTAGAATTTTCAAAGAGTTAAAAGAAAAACTAGTCAGGGAACTGGGTATTTTACATTTAGAAGTCAAGTTCTTAGAGGGAAGAGACCAACATTTAAAAATTTGTTTTTACAGGTTTAATGCTGGACTCTAACGAGAGGGGGAAGAACTGGATTGTATAGCATCACTAGCTTTCTCAGGTTTATAACGGTTTCTCAGAGGGAAGAGAGCTAAACAACTTGGATGGGAGGGATGAACTGGATTCCATTACAATGCCAAGTTTTGCAGATTTAATGCTGGGCTTCTAAGATGGTATGGGAAAAACTAGCTAAAAGAGCACTAGGTTGTTTGGCTTTAGAACTGGGTTTCTCAGTGGGAAGAGAGCTAGACTTCTCCGTGGGGGGGGGAGGAACTGGGTTCAATGGGAGCACTAGTGGGGAATGAGAAACTGGGTTCCGTGGGAGCACTAGGTTGTTCAGGTTTAGAACTGGGTTTCTCAGTGGGGAGGGAGCTAGACTTCTCTGATGGAAGGGAAGAATTAGGTTTCACAGGTTTAGGACTGGTCTTTAGGAAAACGCTTGATTTCACTGGGAGAAGAGAACTTGGGGTCTCTGGCTTAGAATGTTGTTGCATATGAGAACTAGATTTCTCAGGTTTAGAGCTGAATTTTTCAGACGGAAGTAAAAAAATGGGTCCCATCAGAGCTCCAGGTTTCTTAGGTTTAGAACTCACCTTTGAGAAGAGAATACTTGATTTCACAGGGAGAGGAGAACTTGGGGTTTTTAGCTTAGATCGGTGTTCAGTAGGAGCATTTGGTCTCTCAAGTTTAGAGCCAGACTTCTCAGAGGGGTGGAATGAACTCAATTGCATAGGAGCAATAGGTTTATCAGGTTTAGAACTTGACTTTTCAGATGGAAGTGAAAAAGTGAGTATCAGAGCTCCAGGTTTCTTGGGTTTAGAACTGGTCTTCGAGAAGAGAATACTTGATTTCACAGGGAGAGGAGAACTTGGGGTCTCTAGCTTAGATCGGTGTTCAGTAGGAGCTTTGGGTCTCTCAGGGTTAGAGCCAGACTTCTCAGAGGGGTGGAAAGAACTCAATTGCTTAGGAGCACTAGGTTTATCAGGTTTAGAGCTTGACTTTTCAGATGGGAGACAAAAACTGGGTTTCTTCACAGAAAGGGAGCTGGACTTCTCAGAAGCAAAGGAAGAACTGGGTTCCTTAGGATGTGCTTTTTTTACAGATGATTGCCAAATGCTGCTTTCCACTAGAGCAGTAGGTTTTCTCAAGGAAACAGACGAACTTGACTTCACATGAGCACTGGAACTAGGTTTCTGAGGGAAGTGATAATTGTCATGCTCAGTCTGTCCTGAAAAGAATATTTGAATAACTGTTAGTTACAGAAATGACAATATAAAACAGTGACAGTAAGTTCTCTTCAATTTTAATACAACATGGTAGCTAAACATCTTCATCATCATGCAAACATGTATATCTTCATGTTAATGAACATAGATAATTTACAACCAAACCTTTGTGTTTTTGCAGTAGTTGCCCAGCATTACTCCAATCAGACACATGGGAGACACGTTCAGCTGGAGTACTGAGCACTAGAAGAAAACTCAAGGTTAACAAGAGAAACACATTTTTTATATTTATACACTAAAGTTAACTTACCTTCACTCCATGAGTGATACAAATACAAGAAAATAATAAGTCTAGAAGAACCCATTTTGCCCACAAGTCCTACCATTCAGTTTGCGGGTCTAACCAGGCATTTTAAAGATAAGCAGTGACACAGATTTGCATCACCTGGGCTCCCCGTTAACGAACAATTGTGGCTGTGTTCGAAATGGCATACTTGCTTACTGCTTACTGCCCAGTACACAGTGCATACTGCCTACTATTTTTTTAAAGAATAGTGTGTGAAACAGTATACAATAAGCAATAAATGTTTCAGAGTAGTATGCTTAAGTGCTGTCACATGACAAACTATATAAATTGTATTAGATGAATGCCACTTTATTGGGACAAAAACCTACCTAAAGCATACACAACACTGTATTATTGAGGCGTTTTATTTCCAGTTTTCAAATATTTACTTAATTTTTATTGAAAATAAATTTCTTTCGTTGCAGAAATAGTAAGAGTAGTATGATAGTATGGCATTTCGAACACAGCCATTGTTTCATCCTGGGGTGTATTCCAGAAAGCATGGTTAACTTACCATCACATATACCCTGAACTCTCAGTTGATTAACCTAAACCTTGCTTAAGCTGGCTGCACACTAGACAATTTTAAAATCCTAAATGATTTTAAAACCATGGGAGACCACAGACATGAAGACAGTTTCAACCGATTGTTAGCCTTATAATCCTCTGAACGCGCACACCAGACGATTCCAGCAGACCGCGAGACCACACACTTGATGATTGTAGGAATGATTTCACAGTGACACTAGATCTCATGGAGATATTATTATTATTTAATATCTTTGAAAGAATCTGTACTGTATAAAGCGCTATAAAGATAAAGGTGACGTCATTTGATGATCGGAAACGCGCTGTAGAGATTAAAGTACAATTTATGTCCTACTAACAATACTGTTTTAGATACACAGCCATAGTTTGTAGTTTACATCGTTGTACAGTGAAAAACAAAGTATAACAAAGAATATGGGCGATGTATTCTGCTTTATTGGCATTTTTATGGCTGCCAAGTTTCATTCAAACATGGTTGATATTTACGATTTAAGTTCGTTCGGAAATATCAAACATGTTTGATATTTACGATTTGAGTTCGGCGACACTCCGTCTCGATCAGGAGCAGTTAAATAATCGTAATGACACCACACAATAGAGGACGAAGAAGAAAAAATCATTTGTGACAAGCCTCAAATCGGGCCACGCCCCCAATCTTTCAGAAATGCAAATCGGGCTTAAAATCGGCCTTAAAATCCTCTAGTGTGCAGCCAGCATTACTTGAGATATGGTGGTTCCAAAAACACATCTGGGAGTAAGTTCAGTCAACACAGAGTATGTTCAAGGTTAACACACAAGACATTCTCAACAGAGCGACGAATCGACGAGTCACCATGGAAACTGATGCTAAGAAAAAGCACGCCATGCTGCATGTATTCAAAGATGCATATTATGCAGAAAAGTTGCATATTCGAACACAGGTTCAGGTTGATTATCAGGTTCCTTCCCAAGGGGTCGATGTTTGGCTACTTAGTATGGTCCAGTTAGCCCTTGCTGGAAGATAACTACACCATTTTGGTGCTAAAATTACCTTTCTCTATGGACATTTAGAACAGGCTGTGCATTCTCTGATTAAATAATATTTTTGCAAGCAACCTATTAATTGCATATTTCATTATATTAAAGTGTATGTTTTCCTTGTGCCAGCTTTTTACTCTGTGTACCTGCAGCTCGTGAAAAATCACTTACAGCATCTTAATTTCATTAAACTTATATGATGCTATGGTAAACTTCATATCTATTAGTGCACGAATGGGCATGTAAAAGTATTTGTTAATGGGGAGTCTAGGTGCTATACATTTGTCTTGGTTGTCTCATATGGTCTAAAAAAAACTTTGAGTACGAACTGAATTTCTTTTCCTTGCACAATCAGTATTTCTTCTTGCTGTATAAATGTATTTTAATTCAATATTTTCCATATTTTTTAACACAGAAAAAGCCACAATGCAAAGCACTCCAAAACAATCTGATATTTTATTTTGTATGGTGGCACACAAAAACATGGGCAAAGTCAAATTTAATTACCAACACGAGTGGCATGTTCTTCCAGAACCATCACTTGTGTGAACAGGGGGAGAACTGGATTCCAGATACAAACTAGAATTTTCAGAGGGTTAAAAAAAACTAGTCAGGGAACTGGGTATCTTACATTTAGAAGTCAAGGGAAGTTCTTAGAGGGAAGAGAGCAAAATTTAAAACCGTGTTTTAACAGGTTTAATGCTGGACTTCTAACGAGGGAGGGAAGAACTGGGTTGTATAGCATCACTAGCTTTCACAGATTTATAACAGTGTCTCAGAGGGAAGAGTGAAAAACGTCTTGGATGGGAGGGCTGAACTGGATTCCATTACAACGCCAAGTTTTGCAGGTTTAATGCAGGACTTCTAAGATGGTATGGAATAACCTGGCTCCATATGAGCACTAGGTCCTTTGGCTTTAGAACTGGTTTCTCAGCGGGAAGAGAGCTAGACTTCTCAGAGGGGAAAGAGGAACTGGGTTCCATGGGAGCACTAGATTGTTCAGGATTAGAACCGGGTTTCTCAGTGGGCACACTGCTCGTTCCTACCACGTAAGTTTGCGACGCTGTTTGCGAATGTTCGTTTGAACTATGGTCTCGGGAAACACCGAATCGTTGAAATATGTTGGTAACGACGGAGCTTGCGACCATAGTTGGCTAACGATGCTTTTGGGAAACGCACCCCAGTTTGACACTCTAACCAGGCATATCAAAGATAAGCAGTGACAGATTTGCATCACCTTGGCACCCCATTAACAAACAACTGGTGGATTTCACCTCACTCTGTATTTACCACTTGTGATTTCCAGTTTAGAAATACAGTTTTGACATAGACAGATAGGATTAAAATGAGTCTTAATGAGTCTAAACTTATATTTACAAGAGTTAAATTATAAATGTATGTTTTCCATAGGGTGTGAGTGGTGTCCTGTCTGTTTTGAACAATTCATTCAAACAATTTAAAAGTGTTTTTGTTTCATTTGTAATTTTGTATTTTGGAAGTTGTATTAAAGCACACTGGTAAACCTCACCAAATCTATCAGTGCACGACTCAGCATGCAAAGTATTTGTTAATGGGTAGTCTGAAAAATTCTTTGTTCTTCATTCTTTAGTATGCGGTATGCCAAATAATTATACATTTTTAAATATACTACATTTGATGATGCGGTTGTTCTTTGACCAGTATATTGTTTAACCTGTGATAGACTAATAACAACCATGAAAATAATTTACTCTTCCTCTAATTTTTCTGTTCCAGAGGCCTCATGGAACAGAAAAGCATCCACACTTCAGACTTTCACACTTCAGAATCTCAGCAGATGCAGTAGGTCGTCCAGGTATTGTTTGCATATTGTTTAATGAATAAAATATATTGGAACATAGTAGGGAAGTACATGTATTCAGGCGCAGAGTCACTCAAGTCGATGATCGGGTGTCTACCCAAGGGGTCAAAGTTTGGTCGCTTAGTATGGTCCAGTTAGCAGTTGCTGGAAAATACCATAAGTACATAATTTTGGTGATTAAAGCACCTTTCTCCACTGACAGACATTTAGAATAGGCTGTGTACTCTGATTAAATAAAATTTTTGTAAGCAACTCATAAATCGAATTATTTCATTATATTAAAGTATACATATGTTTTACCAGTGCATGTTTTTTTTTTTGCTGTTTTTACTCAATGTACTTGCACCCCACATGAAAATTATACACTTAGAACGCATTGATTTAATTCCAAAACAAACCCTTATTTGGTATGGTGGCACACAAAAAAACATGGGCAAATTCAGATCAGATTTAATACCAGCACATAAATGGCTTGTTCTTTAAGAATTAACACTTGTGTGAATGGGGGAGAACATGAGGTTTTGTAGAAGAGAAAACTAGATACAGATACAGATGAGAATTCTCAATGGGTTTAAAAAAGATAAATAAATAGAATTTCTATTTCTCTCAACATTTTAATAATTGTTAGTCACAATGGTGACAACATAGTACAACGACAGTAATTTCTCTTCAATTTTAATACAACTCCGTAGTGATGTTCGATTCTTGAACGAATCGTTCTTTTGAGCCAGTTCTCAGGAAGTAACCGGTCGAGCCGGTTCACAAAATCAAACTGAATCGAACTTTAGTTCCGGGTTGATGACGCAGGACGCTCAGCCGAAGTAGCACGTCCGACTCAAAAAGAACCGAATGAGCTGGTTTAACCAACTGTCGAAGTCTGCCGAGGATTCTGACGAGTGAGTTGCTGACACTGCCTGTGTATCACCGAGCCTGATGCGTAAAGTTTTTTAAATAACAAACAAAACATAGGCTACTGGAGATATGCTTATGAATCGTTTAATTAAAAAGCCCTGGATTTTTATTAAAACATGGAAAAACCTGAATTTTAACATGGTTTATTGTGCATGCAGATCATATTTTAAGTTGTTTAAGCGAAATCAAGGCGTTTATAAGACTGGTTTATTCTTTCTTTATGCTATAGACACATAGAACATATCCAAGTTTGTGCATCAGTGTCTGTAATGTGTGCTATAGGTGCGAAACTTTTAGGATTCATATCTAAGTAGTAGTCTTGTTAATACTGGTCAGTCGTAGGCCTTTCTGACAAAGGATCCGCGAATGAAACTGTGACCACGAACAGCACTAACGTAAATGAAAGGCAATAATCAGCTATATGCATTCACACAAATGACATTTTATTTGAATGTTTCAATATGTGTAGACACAAATGACTTTATTTGAATGTTTCATTGATACAACATGGCACAGAGTTGTTAGAAAAGAAATGCGTAGTGACATCATTGCCTGATGACGCAAGGAACCGATGAATCGGCTTTTTGAACCGACTCCATGAGCCGAACTATCCAAAAAGAACCGATTTGCGGAAATGAATCGGACTTTGCATCACTAACTCAGTAACTAAAAACATCATAATCATGTATATCTTTATGCTAATGAAGATATATAATTTACAACCAAACCTTTGTG